AAATTAGCTGGTTTTCTGGCTGCCACTTTTAATCCTCCCAATAACGTTTCTTGAAGAAAATTGTCCAATACCTTCCTATCTTAAAAGTTTCCATGGGGCTATTTCCAACAGACTCTTAAGGGCCTGCAGCTTCTCCAAAGATGGAGGGTTTGGGGGTCTTCCAACTACATTCATTACTGGTAGAGAATATATAAACTGTGAACAGGGAAGGAGTTGAACTTCTACTTTCCCTCTGGTGATGGATCAGGTAACTATTTTCTCCTCCCTGCAGCAAGACTGAGAACAGGCAGAAGTTTTGGGTTTCTCTTGCCCACTTAGCTGCACCATAACTTGGATCACCAACAAGAGGGCACAGGTCTTAAGCCAAGGGTATGTGTGTGTCTTGAACCAGAGAAGCCATTGGTTATGACAGTTAAATTAGTGGCTATAGTTGGTATACATACATGCACAGGAATATATACAAATGCATAAAATGCATATTTAAAATGAACTCTAATTTCAGCAATTACATACTAAGTATCAATTTTAATCTTTGATGATCCCCAAAGCCACTCCTTTGTATCCTGTATAGCCTTATATTATTATATAGTCTAAATATTCTAAAATATTATAGAATCATAATTTTCTGTTAGAGTCAGCTATTCAGTTTATCAACTATTAAAATATACCAGTTATCTGCAAGAATTCCTGAACCTACACCTTCCTTTTATAGAACTCCAAGGGCTAGGACTAGAAATGGAGACCATGTTGGGTACTGATCTTCTCAATGTACTTTAAAATTTTTTTTCAAACTTCCAGAGCAGTGATACTGAGAAAAATTACTCTGGACGCACTCTTATGTGAAGCAAATGCGTGTGAATCTATTGGATACCTGCAAACGTAAACAAGAGTCAAAGAGCCCAGTCCCAGAAGTGGGCAACAAAGCATTCCATTGCATGTAAAATGAGAGGGACCTTGCCCAAGCAACTGAAGCCAGTTGTGTGCTCCAGCCTTCCCAACAGAGACCACTGTTCACACACTGCAATGAAAACTACTATGAATTACTTTTAGCTCCACACAGTATTTTTCTCATAAAAAGGTACTGTGGTTGTTTAAGAATGGACCCCATAGCCAGGCTGTGGTGGCACATGCCTTTAAGGCAGGCGGATCTCTGTGAATTCAAGGCCAGCTTGGTCTATAGAGCTAGTTCCAGGTCAGCCAAAGAAACGCTGTCTCAAAAAACTATAACAAAAAAAAAAAAAAAAAAAGGACCCCATATTTGAATGTCTAGCTCCTAGCTGGTGTAATGTTTTAGCAGGATTAGGTGTGGCCCTGTTGGAACAGGAGAAAGGGTCACTGGGATGGTGGGATTTTGAAACTTCAAAGCTTTCTTTTTCTCTGCTAGCAGATTAGGATGCAGCTCTTCAGGTACTTCTCCAGGACCATACCTAACTGCATGATGCCATGCTTTCTGCCATGATAATGGACTAAGCTGTATGGGTCCTGCATGTCCAGTCAATACATTTTTTCAAGCAGTCCAGGAAAGAACAGTTTCTTGCCCAAATGGCTATTTTTGCCAAGAAGAAGATAAACTCCACAGAGAGTGTCTTCAATGCCCATCCTTCTCTCTTAAGTAAATCGGTGCTGCCAGGAGCAGACATGTCAAACTGTCCAGAAAGTCTAGATTTTTAAAAACATTTTAAATGTCATATTCTGTAGGTCTTTGAAGTGTTTGAAGATTACCTATCTATCTGAAATATATCTATGTATACCTAGAAAACTTAACATGGCTACAAGCATGATTATCATAAATGACTAATTATTAATCTATTTCTTAATTATCCATTACAATTTT